CTCTCTCTAAACAAATAAAAAAATAAATTAAAAAAAAAATGTCTTGTAGAAGGGCTGAGACAAAGCTCAGCAGTAGAGCCCTTGCCTAGCATGTGGAAAGCCCCGCAACCAGCACCACAGCAACAGAAGTTAAATAAAATCTCATAAGGGTGCAACAGTGAGTCACCAATCTCCCTTATAATCCAATTCAAAGTACTTTAAATATGAATGTAAGTAGAACACAAATGAAATCTCTTGAGCCCAAAAAAGAATGAACTTCTAAATCAGATAATAGGTAGTGTTTTCCTCATATCGATGATCTCAGACTGAAGGATGAATTATATCTACCACTATACCAATAGGAATATTCTAATATATGAATTTATGACTCTACCAGTAAAATCAGAGTCTGAAAAGTCTTCTCCTACTTATTATCATTAGTATTATTTTGGTTCTGGCAATCACGACCTCATGCTGGGCAGGCAGACACTATACAGCTGAGCTACCCAACCCCTGGAAATTATTATTATTTTTTTGGAAATTATTGATGTCTATGATCAAGTACCTTTCTGTAGTTGAACATTTAACTTGCCAACAGACACCACAAAATGTTTAAATCCATCAGCTTTGTATTACAGTCAATTAAAGAAGGATGGAGAAAAGAGAGGAAGAGAAAGACAGGAAATAGACCAAAATATGAAAAGGGAAACTTCTGTACCAAGTTTCCATGATGCTCTAAGTTAAGACTCGCAAGAATGAATCGAATGTGCACATCAGCACTATCCAACTTTTGGAAGCTCTGGTCTTTAAATATATAATCTTATTTTCATCAAAGAAAAATCAGCTGGTCTGGAATCAATAGAAGAGGACCTATTTTTTAAATAGAGTTGGGGGGCGGGCAGGGAGATGGCTCAGTGGAATAAGTGCTTCCCTGGTAAGAGTAAGGACCTGAGTTCAATCCCCGGTTCCACAATAAATAAATAAATAAATAGAGTCTTGCAGTCGACTAGGATTCAGCAGCATGACCTTTTGAAAAGTACGTTGCGGGTTTTGCATTAATAGTATGGGACGCGCACACTGTGGTACAGAAATTTGACTAAGCAAAGTCCTAAAGCTTCCACGCCGCCCTGGGCTCGAGGTTTGCGCTGCTCCCGGAGCGGAGCCCGGCCATCCATACCCACGCCGAACCCGGTGTACGACCGCCGGCGTCACCAGCGCCACCTTGGCACCTGCAGATCGAGAGCTGTCCGCGGCGCCCGGCAAGTGAAGAGCGGAGTTCCCAAGCATATGCACAGAAGTTACCCACCCTCCTCCTCGTCTTCTGCCCCGAGAAGTGGGTGAGGACCCCGACCTCGCGCCTGGGACCAGCTCCCATACCCGAGAGGCGCCGACTGAGCCCCCGGACCTGTGCGACTCTTGGATCCAGGGTCTCGGTTCCCCCGGCGAAGCCCCTCTGGGGGAGCCCAGTCCCGACACTGGCGAGTCCAGGGGCCTCGGAGAAGCCCACTGACCTGAAAGCGCGGCGGTGGCTCCGGTCCCGGCAGCTCAGGTGTGCGGGCCGCTCGCGTGTCCCTCCCTCCTCCGACCATGAGAGCCGAGTAGCCAGCCACAGGTCACCCGCCTCCGACCAACTGCAGAGCACCAGCCGACCGACCCGCGGCCGCGGCTCTGGCGTCCACGTGACGGGGGCGGCACCCTGCCGGAGGCTGGTCCCGGAGCGGCGTCGCCGTCCCACCCCTGGGACCCCCGCCCCGCCCGCCCCGCCTCGCGGTCACTCCTCCTCCGCCTCCGGGGCTGCAGCTGCGCCGGAGAACTGCAGGCTCCTGGCGGACCTGCCTCTCCGGCCCCGCCCCACGCTGTCAGCCCCGCCCCCAGGCCTTGCTCTCCATTGCCCAAAGCCCCGCCCCCATGAAGACCCCGCCCCCGGAGCCCGCCCCGCCTCTCCACGCGACGCTAGTACCCTCAAGCCTTGGGGAAGTCCTGGGCAGCTCCCCAGCTTCTGCAACTTTTAGACGCCGCTCTTTCGACGCAGGCAAATTTGTTAGGGAACAAAGAAGCCCCGAAAAACCGTAACAGAAGCACCTGCGCACAGCTGCCTGTGGGGCGTCCGGAGCTCCCCCAGGACTCCAGCGAAACTGAGTTTGGCCTCAGTAGCCTCTTTTCTCCTTGTCGAGCTCTGCCCACCTTCACATTTCGCCACACACCCTGGCTGTCAAATTTCCGGTCACCACAGGTGCCAGTGAGCTTGCACCCCGCGCCGCTGGGATGAATGTTCTTCTACTGGCTCTGATGCCGGATCTTGGGAACAGCTGAAGATCCGGAGCTCTTCCTGTGCCCAGCTCCGTGGTCAGGTGCCTCAGGCCCGGGAAGGGCTTTGGCGTTTCCCTGACCACAGGGAACCAATTCTCAAACGGGGAGGGCTGGGCCCTGGAGACCAAGTCTAGCACCCACCCCGAGTGCACCCAGAGAGGTCTTACCGCCCGCGGTTGCCCAGCCGGGGACTTCCAAGGACCTGCTGCTCAGTTCATCGGATTACAACGGTAGCAACAGCAGCCACTCCCAACATAGTCCCCAGCTCTGGCAGGAGTCATTACAGTCCTGGTCTCCTGTTCCTCACAGGCTGGAGTGTTGACAAACTGCATGCGACACATGTTTTTCCCAACCAGACTTACCCTTCTGGTCTGAAATTACCAGTGAGCCCTGAGACTTGCTCATGTGAGCAGAACATAAGCCACGCTGGCAAACAGGAGACTGTGGTCACTGCAGGAGCCTGGCCAGCAGCAGACCAAGGGCAAAGCCAGCAGAGGGAGGCTGGCCCGCAGAGTTGTGTTACAGCAGGACACCCTGTAGTTGAGTTTCACTTCTTAAAATAGCAGAGAGGCTTTTGTACAGGAAGCAGCCTGCCTTTCACCCAAGTTCGTGTGTGTGTGTGTGTGTGTGTGTGTTTCCAAGTCCACACATTGCCCCCAGGGGGCCCACTGACCTTACCCCAGCGCCCAGAAAATGCTAGCCTGCTCTTAGAAGTATGCAATTACTCCTCTGTTTTGTAAATAACTGGCTTATATGCTTATTTTCAGTTGGGCACCACTTAGGGGATAAGGACCTTAAAAATACTGACGTCTCAATCCCAAACTCAGCGGATATGAGCTATGACCTGGGTATTAAGACTTTTAAAGTTCCCCCAAGTGACTTTTTTTGGGGGGGGAGGGGGACAGGATCTGACTATAGTGTAAGACCGGCCTAGAGCTCTCAGAGATTCCCCTGACTCAGCTTCCAAAATGCTGGGAATACAGGCACGTCCCACTCACCTTGCTCACAAGTAATTAGGACATACAACCAAATATAATACTCATCAGTGTAGTCATGGAGGCACCACTTCTCCCTTACTTAAATCCAGTGAGCCAGCCCAGAGCTGAAAAGTTCACCTGAAAGAAGCTCCAAGTGTTCCAAGCCCTGCATGCTCTCAAGCAGAGTAGACATGTATGGGGAATTCCTGGAGAAAATATCTTGACATACACAGATTCTAGCTGCAGGGATTTACGTATTGGGATGAGCTGTGATGGGCAGGTGTCAAGTACACATCCTTGCAGCACTGTCACATCCACACCTATATCTGATGGAAGTGAGATGGCACATTATAGGCAAACTGTCCTCTTGCCTCCAAAGGAACTGTATGTGCCAGACCTACACTGTTGATAATTCCACTTCATCATCCTCTGGGAAGCTGGCCACTTCCCTTATATCTAAAATAAATAGCGTTGGGGCCGGAGAGATGGCTCAGTGAAATAATCGCTTCCCTGGCAAGCACAAGGGCCTGAGTTCAATCCCGGTTCCACCAAAAATAAATAAATAACATAGATAATGTTACTTTATCCATGAGGCAGATAATGGTCCTGGACCCATGGACTAGGCAATATCACCATATTTGTTTGTTCATACCTGCCTCATTCCACAAAGGATTTGCACTCTCTATACTATTCCATTAGAATTGTGGATAATTGCACCATGTCTATAGCTTGGTTATTTCCCTTCTGCCAAAGATCTATTCAAATGCTATGAGGAAAAATCCCTCTTCACTGCCTAAGGTCACAGCCAGAGCTTGGCAAAGACAGGGAAACAGCTGCAAACGCACAAAGCAAGCCCTCTCATGTGACCAACCTGGAAAGAGGCCTCAGCACAAGACACAGACTGGCACCACAGTCTGCACTTGTGATCCAAACTCTGCTGATCTGTACACATGCATGGGAAACATTTTAAAGAAGGCCTTCTTTAGAAGCACACACTGCCTTCTGGGCCACCCGGCACGCCTGCTGGGGCCGAGAGCCACTTGCCTGCTATCTGGCTTCCTTCCAGATCCTAGAGTATTTACCAAGTGCTTCTGTGTGCTGGGGACTGTTCACAGTAAGCTTCACACAGGCAGCACTCCCTGAAAGCTTTTATACTGAGGGTGTGTAGGCAAATATGGGCTGGTGAGCTTCTTTGCTTAGTGTCATTTTTATTACGGCTAAAGAAGAAAGAAGCAGATGACAGCTAAATAAGATGAGCCCAGCGGTGGGGTCTTCACCTCTAGGCTGCTTTCCTGGAGGAAGGAGCTTTTGAAAGACCAATAGGCAGGCTCAGGATGCTCTAATTCAATCCCCGGATCCTCATGTCTTAGCAGAACTGCACTTAAGACATCCTGAGCCAGCGCCCCCCCCCAAAAAAAAAAATCCTTCTGAAAGACCTTTTGCAGACATGAAAACATGACTGAAAGGCCAAAGTCTATTTTTTTTAAAGTTGAATTGCTGAACACATTGATTTATAAAAGACTGAGTGAACAAAAAATACATATTTGATGTTTCCTTGGGCAATGGAAAGACTATGAGGACTGCAGTATTCTTTAGCTCTTCCATTTTGGAGTTGTGATGCTTTGAATAATTCATCTAAACTCTCCTCATCTCTACAATGGCAATTGTGAAGACTTACATGTCTCACAAGAGCAAGAGGAGAATTAAAAGACACATAAACACTTCAAAACTAGAAAGTGGTATTGAAATGTTAATATATTTATTATTGCATCCATCTACCTTGGAGGAACAGCAAAGCTAAAGGAAATAAAGTTTAAATGTCAATAAGAAATAATGCTTTTAGGTGGGCAGTGGACAAAATGGAAAGAATATTTGTAAAGAGTGAAGAGACTGAGCAAAAGCCAGAGAATAAAAACCCACTGAGTGTCAAGAGGAAAAAAGAGGCCAGAGTCGAAGTAGATGCTGGAGATCAGAAAAGAAAGCTGGGAATAAGCTGGGCCCCAAAATGAGAGGCCTCGGGGGGCAAGAAGTTTGGAAGGTAATGGACTCACCCCAAAATTGAAAATTTCTAAATGAGAGACTCCTCTAAGCTATTGGAAATACCTAAATACACCTGGGAAGGGAGCGTATGGATTCCCACTCCTAGATCTTACTCTTGCATGTGACTAGAAGAGTGCTACATTGTGAAAGAGCCCTGGCCTCAGTGTCCTGGAGAACATCCATCAGAATCGTGTTAGTATCCCTCCAGCTTGCAATGCATTACTTCAAAGGTAGCTTTCTCTTTGTCTGGAGTTTGTAAATGATCTGGTTTCCTTCATTCCAGGCATAGAGTTGCTTATCTCTGGGGTTGTAATGGATCATTGAGTGACTTCTGGGCCGCCTGGGAAAGAACAAGTTGGGCAGGTCCTCATCACTGACAGTGCCCAGAGGGTCATAGACACATGTGATTCGAGAAGGACCTTGGCCCCCAGAACTGTAGACCACATAGAGAACCCCGCATAAGAGGAATGAGGCCTCAGCATCCTGGCTTCTGCATGGTGTGTCCCAGGAGTGCTCTATTCCCAGCGTGCCAGGGTCAATTTTTGTGAGAACCAGATGGCTTTGGACACCTGGGCCTGCGTGGATGGTCCAGAGCCCATGCTCGTCCACAGCGAGATCAATGTAAGTGAAGGGAGAATGCTGGTAGACCAGTGCTCGGCCTGCCCCTCCTAGGAGCAGCATTCGGTCTTCCACAGTCCTCTTCTGCAGATTGTATTTGATTATCTCATTAGAAGTCCCTTGGTTGTGAAAATATAGAAAACCTTTGTAGAGCACTTGACCCGATCCCTGCCAGGAAAGTGGTAGGAGTAACTTTCGGGGAGCCGGCTTGGTGCTGTCCTCCATGAATGCCCGGATATTTGCAAATTCCCAAAGAGTTTTGTTTCTGGATCCAATTAAAAGGTACACTTTGGGGGAGTCACTGCCAGCGTCTTTCATCCAAGAGCCATCGGGGTCCAGAGTCTTCTTCACTATTTTCAGGGACTTTATACCTGTCAGCAAGTTGTCACAGCCTGGCCAGAGAGGAGACAAAGGAGACATTATTAGGTAAACATGGGACATCTACTTTCTGTAAGACTCACTGTGCCTGGAAAATCCTGATTTTGCTCAGCTCTAATCCTGGTGGGGAATATTGTCAATTCTACTGTGAAATAATGATTCTTAAAAGAAGACTTTCTTTTAGAAGATCCTACTACAAACTCGAAGATAGGCATCCATTTCCTTTTATCCACATAAAGAACCTTTAAATCGGGCCCAGGGAGATGGGGAGATGGCTCAGTAGAATAAGTGCTTCCCTGGCAAGCACAAGGTCCTAGGTTCAATCCCCAGTTCTGAAAAAAGAAAAAAGAAAAAAAAAAAAAAAAAAAAAAGAACATTTAAATCACAGTAATAAGCCAAGTTCATTCTTTCACCTCATTTTCCTTATCAACTGCTTTTGATCCATACTGTTTAAAATAAACTTAATATACAAAGACCAATCACAACTTATGATGTGACTCAATAGATCAAAGAATAAATGAACAAATGGGCCTTTGTTAAGAGAACTTATGTCCTGTTTTAAGAGCCAGCATTCAGGATCTAAGCAGTTATTTGCTAGGACAGAAACCCTGTTCACTTGAACAGTATTTGAGTCTGACATGGCAAAAATGTCATGGGTGTGAAGTAGGATAATTTAATGCTATTTACTAAGATTTTATTTAGTATTTATTATGTATTAAACTTACAGGGCCTGCCAGATAGCTCAGCAGATTGAAGTGCCTGCTTAGGCAGACACAGGGGACTGGGGTTTGATCCCTGGCATGCCATGCCGGCCCCATCCCAGGGAGAGCTGAGACTGTGATTGAGACTGGATGTGGTGGCTGGCACAAGCCTGTAACTCCAGGGATTGGGAGGCTGAAAACAGGAGGATCACTATACATCTGATCTGTGTATTGAGACCCTGTAGACCCTGTACTAAGTACACACACACACACACACACACACACACACACACACACACATCTTACAAGGCTCCCCAAACAAGTATTAAGGATAAGTATTGAGAATAAAAAAATACTGACCCTAAACTTGCGGAGATTATCTTCTAGTGAAGAACTGTGGCTCTTAAAATGACTGCAGAGGGCTAGCCAGATAGCTCAGTGGACTAAAGCCCCTGCTTAGGCAGACACAGGGAACTGGGGTTCCACCCCCGACATGCCATGCTGGCCCCACCCCTGGGGTGTACTGAGACTGTGATTGAAACTGGGCATGGTGGCACACACCTGTAATCACAGCGCTTGGGAGGCTGAAAACAAGAGGATCACTACAAGTCTTACCTGTTTAGTGAGACCTTGTAGACCCTGTACTAAATTAATTTTTTAAAAAATGACTGAAATTCTAGAAGAAATCCACTCACCACAAATTTATGAATGTATTTAAGCATCAGACATCTAATATCTGCAAAATGTATGATACTGGCTTAGGGGTTATGAGCTGGGATGCAATGACAAAGTATGCCTGGTTCTTTCTTATTAGTTATATGACTTGCTGTAATGTAGGGCTTCAAGTGAAAGTTTTACAAAAAAAGGACAGAGAGGGAAGTGTCATTTAAGGCAGAGGAAGAATACGCACTAAAGTTGCCCCTTGAAAGATGAATGGAGTTGAACAATTAGTGGAATGGCAGAGAACATTCCAGACAGTTAACAGAACTACTTTTAGGGATGCCTGCCAGGATTCAGTGAAGTAACAACTAATAAATTCAAAAACAGTAAAATCTAAATATTTAATATTGCCTGTAAGACCAAGGATTATACTGAAGCCAAGTCTAAGCCTTAAATTGTGAGGGTAGGGTTAAGGAATCTGATCTTTATTCTATAGGCAGGAAAGATGCCACCAAAGCATTTGAATAGGAATGAAAGAATATACATTCATTTTACAGGTTAATGTGGCAATCCATGTACTACAGAATATGGGAAAAAGACTAAAATCAAAAAGACTGATTAAAAGGCTACTTGTTACAAATGATGAGCAAAATAAAAGATACTGAGTGGGAGATAGGAAGATAGATCTTTCTCTTACAGAAAGGAGACCAAGAGAGTAAGAGGGGGAAAAGGAGAGGGAGAGAGGATGAAAATGGAATTAAGATGTATATGTACAAACTGCATGCAAAATACTTCAAAGAATCAATAATTAGGAGCTCATCTTTTTGAAAAGTTTCTGCATATCAAAAGAAATCAGCAACACAGTAAAAAGAAAGCCCATGAATTGGGAAAAAATTTTAGCCCACTGTCCCTCAGACAAAAGACTTTTATCTAGAACATTTAAGAATTAAAAAAAAAATGGGTATGACTCAATGGATCAAAGAATAAATGAATAAATGGGTCTTTGTTAGGAGAATTTATGCCCTGTTTTAAGAGCCAGCATTCAGGATCTAAGCAGTTATTTGTTTGGACAGAGACCCTATCCATTTGAGACTGACATGGCAAAAATGGCATAGGTGTAAAGTTGAATAGCTCAATTCCATTTACCCCAAAATTCAAAGACCCAATCATAAAATGGGCATCTGAGATGAATATACATTTCTCACTGAAGAAGTACACATGGAAAGGGCTGGCTAAATAGCTCAATGGATTCAAGTGCCTTCAAGCAGGTGCAGGGACCAAGGGTTCGATCCCTGGGCCTGCCATGCCAGCTCTGCCCCTGGGGCGCACTGAGGTGGCAATTGAGACTAAGTGTGGTGGCATGTGCCTGTAATCCCAGCTCTTG